TTCTCGCTTTAGATTCAGGGTTTATTTCGCTAGAATCTTCATTGGATATATTAACTGCTGGAAATGTGTTCTACACTTCTAATTTATTTTATATTTTTCTATGTTTCCTATATTCACCATTCTGATATAAAAACTAATTTGCTTTCGTAAATGGCCTTCAGTAATACAGCGTTACCTGAATCATTTATCACTGTCTTGCCCAATTCTAGCGATGCAAAAGTCGCTTTTGTTTGAGCGATTCTAGTAAATTTGCCAGCACTCCGCTTATTAAAGAAAAGAATTTCGAACCTATCTTTGAATTGTATCCTTCCAAATAAATAGTTGAATGACGAATCTCCAGACTAAATGATAGTGCTACGTATATCCATAATTTATGCTCTTCAGCTGCGTTAACTCGAACATTTATATTTTGACAAATAAATTCTATAGCTATTCATAAAATGCATATTTGTGTGCACCACATCAAAATGTGTTTTTTCATCGGTTACGTTTTATAAGACTATCATTTATCAATGATTATAAGCACCTTTTATTTAGCCTCATTTTCTTATCAATAGGTTAATTTAGCCTAGTTGTGCAGCTGTTTTGAGTTAAATACAGGAAGTATAGGTGTTACAATGCTACCGGCATGCTTCTTGATACCAATGAATTTCACTTGGCCTTGACTTACTAAAGGTTTTACTATCCAGGTTGGACTGAATTTTCGGCCTCGTTTGGGTTTTTTAACCGCTTTTGCTTGGACTTGAATCCTAGTCTTACATCAAAATGAGATTTTACCACTGCTACACAGCTACGGGTGCCAGTTGGTCACAGGGCAGGTGCAACTTCCAGGGCAAACCAATTCTTCCCAAAATATCAATTATGTTAAGTTTTCCGATGAGGCATGGTCATATTTTTCACTTTGATCGACGGTGTTACTTATATTCTATGTGAATTTGCGTTCTTATTCAAGAATTACTGAAAGCATGAGACATACAGAACATATAAGTAACGTTGTCGATTGCATGACAAGTATATGTTTGCCGCATACATTATCTCAACATAAGTGTGATTTGGTTAAGGCCTGGATTGCTTTGAAAGTAATCTATCCCCTATAACTCAGCTGCACTCGTGGCTGTGCAGCGTAGTGGGGACATGTTTAAGCAATGCGAACGACTCGGTTTTAAATTATAGGGCAGACGATTTCTGAGACTTAGGTGAGTAAGAAGCTGCAATCTACCGTAGATAATAAAACTTAGAGTTGTTGGGCTGCATTAGGGAAAACATTCGATTTCAGTCCACAAACCACCTTATGCGACATTTTAACTCAAGAATTACTGTTATTTTGAAAACTGATTATGAAGTACATCATATAAAATCTTTGAAAAATTATTATCACAGCTTGTTAATCCTTGACATCGCTATGCTTATTTCAATTAATGTGACTTACTTTTTGCAAAAATTCTTTGTCTTACGACCATGAAAATTCATTCTTAATAATTTTTTGATGTCGGCCTTCACTAATGTGAGTCCACCTACTATCGATATTACTAATGTTTGGGTGTGAAGTATTATTATTTCTTACTTGTTATTATTATTATTACTTTACTAAAGAATGTATTTTGTTGTATTTATTCATTTTGTTTGCTTGATAATGAGGAAGCACAAGCTACTTGATTGCTTATTAACACTTCCTACCGAATTCTCTAAACGCTCAATCTTAGCCACTACTGTAAAAGCCTTAGTTCATTTATTAAACCTAGGTGTTCATCTCAGTCGTTATGCCTTTATTTAAGGAAATGAGAAAATTGTTTATAAATGCTTTGAAATACATTGAAAAACCAACCCATATGTTGGTCGAATCCTCATTACTATCATTTATTTTCAGGAACCCACACTAGATGAGTAATAAATGAGTCATTATTTAACAAGAAAGGCTAAGATTTTCCCATATCACTCAAAAATATAGCTACAAACGAGAATACCTTCCCCTTTTATTAAGATTTATTAATGAATTTCACGCTATTTCCAGTTCCGGATCAGATGAGTTAGTAGGATTTTCCGTCAGCTTTTTAAAAGTTTATATATATCCATATTAACGAATAGTTATTTTCCTGATGCAGAGATTTACTTTGCTAAGGCCAACTAAGATCTATCAGTACAAATTTTTTACTTTTATCTGTGAAGATCTTATTTTTGTAATAGATAAATATCTTTCCATTCAAACAATTGTCTTATAAATTCTCTCAGTTCTAACATAATTTTTATGTTTAAGATACCTATCATTATATATTAGCCCATGTTAAAAGATTCACCGACCAGCTCTTTATTTTTAAAGATAATTGTTTCCATTGTTGATAAATGGTACAACTGTCATTTTTCTCAAGTTTTACTAATTGACCGAAATTAGTTATACTGCTTTCTGTCCAGACAAGACTTAAGTATTACAAGCGTTCCTCCAATTAGGCTATTAATGTATCTATAATTAAGGTCAGTACCATTCAATCAGTCGAACCAATGATAGGTCATGTTGAGGACAAACTATGACAGATTTTTGGATCTCTTTTGCTTGTGAATTCCTTTACTTATGCATATAGACACCTTTTGACCATAAGTGACCGGAAAGTTCACTTGAAAATTACCATGGTAGCGGTAGGTAAATTTGTTGTTTACTCCTTGGCTTTATTTTGTCTATTTTAAGCACACACCTGTGAAAAATTATCTCAAATGTTCAGATATTTTTGCTATCTAGCCAAGTTATTTGATTAAGCCATCATTACAACCCTTTTTTGTAATGCGTTTTATTTGTCTCAGTTCAAAGCTGATAAAAATTTCAGTACGAGCACTCACAATCCATCCTATTTATCGCCCACTGCGAAGAGCCCTTACATTTATTTTTGTTCACTTTCTGGCCCGCAAGTGTAGTCATCTTAAAACTAGTTGGTCATTATTTACGGATTACTATTAATTATAATTAATTTAAAGTAATTATGTGTCTGGCGTTTGTAAGAGGTGGGTTGTTCTGTATTGAGATCTTCATTGATTATAGCTTGAGGTTTAATTCAAGAAGCTGACGCCTTCCATCAATTACGACCCCTTTCCTACATTATTTATCATATGGTCTCCAAAATTAATGGGCTAAAGGGGCATTTAATATAGTCGATATAGTGCTTTTTCACAGGAGGGCATTCATGACCATACGAATTTTTATAATTATCAGATACTTTTTCCCATTTCATTTTCAATTTTATTTTTAATCAATTATTAGTTAGAAAGTTTTAGGAGTGAGTTATTTCATTTATCCATCTTTCTCTGAATTGCTATTTAACTTAATTTTACTATTATGCATACGTCTTTAACCAGAGTGGCATTTGGCACATATTGACCTTGCCTTGATCTGCGTTGACATCCTATTCTGGCTGTTTGCCTAGTAAATTTTCCAGCGTCTATCGTATAACTTGATTTGTGTAACTAGACTATTTTTTGCTTGGCTATGATACAGCCATTTTTAGACGATTTTATTCTAAACCCGAATTTGGATCAGTTTTAACCTAATTATTGTCCTAGGTTTGATCACAACCATTCTCTCCACTATACCAAGCTTATCTCAATGCCTCTATTGCTATAGTTATTCTAATGTTGGTATTCTATTAATATCAATACTCTATTCTATTGTATTTATATTTTTCCCGTGCTTTCTCAGGAGCAGTGTTATCCTGCCCCCTCAAGCCGCAATGGTGTTGATCCGGCACCACCTCCTCACGCTCCTTCAATCTCACTTGCCTCAATGTCTCTGGCTTCACAACCTGACCAAATCCTTTCATCTATCTACCCCTCCAACGCTTTCATAGATGCCCATCCACTTCCTTCAACCTCCACACGTCCTGCTCGACCTACGTATTGTCAAAAAACGGCCGATACACTTCCAATGCAGATTTACTTTGTCTCTGATCAGTCCAGCAAATTGGATCCAGAAGGGAAGCCGTTTGAAAATAAAGAAAGAACGGAAGATCTGAAGGAAAGGAAGCTTGGTTCACATTCAGATAGTCACTTCATTGGTGAGGTTGCGGCTAAGCGATCTCTGGCCATGAGTGGACCTCGACTAAGTGACCTTAGTGTTTTGCATGGCTCGGATACTGAGTTCATCAATCGCCCTCCGGTGCTTAAGCATGCCCAAGAGGATCCAATAGCAACACACGATCGCGTCGTGGCTCGAATGGCGGCTGGGGGTGCTGTCTGGCTAAAA